AAAACTCTTGCTGTTTGTTTTTTTTCAGCCTACAGTTTGACCCCGCCCCACGCAGAGGAGAGCCTCACGTGACGCGGCGCACACCAGACTACTTCCTGTAAAACATCGCTGGTGAGCATGGAAATAAGCTGCACAAAAGCCTAACGAGAGGAAGCAATCAGTTGCACACAACTTGGGTGCCATATTCACAAAATAATAAAATACAGACTTTAATATCTATAAACACACCATCATCCTAATTTTTAGCTATCTGCACGTTTCAACTGCTAGGAATGATTGCCGCACTAAACAATGCTGGTTATAATACCTGCTGGCTTGTCAGGAAATACAAATTCATTAATCTTCAGTTTTTCAGTGGTGTTTGTTTAAAATGTTTATGATGAACAGAGTGTTTTTTTTAAAATAAATTTTATTAAGTGCATCTTTTAAATGGCATGGCCTCAAATCCAAAGTAGTAAAACCTGTATTGTGATTTTTTTCTTTATTAAGAAAAAGTTTATTTTATGAAAGTAATGTGATAAGGTTATAAAAGTCAGATGTGAGTATGTTTTGTCACTACTTTTGTACCTGTTTTTGATTACATGGCACTGACAGATGTTGTTTTTACACTGCTTTAGTTTTCTTTTTTTTTTCTTTTTTTGTTGACTCTTAGAAGAAGTAATGTAAATTATTTGCGCCTGTAATAATGTTATAAATGTCTTTTAATATATTAAATGATCTGAAACCACTAATGTTGTCCAAAATAAATGCTGAAGTTGCTTTTGTTGTGTAATTTCTGACAGCAGTTTTGACTTTATCGCCTGTAGTTCTCCAGAGTCACCGCAAGATGGAGACAAATATCGAGTCATCAAATCTGATGAAATAATCCGCACAATGACAAAATGTGCACGAAACTGGATGTTTTTATTTCTTAGACATTTGTTTATTTATTTTTTTCATTATTGTATACGATAAGTATTAAACCTCGCCATAAGGGTTTTACAAAGTTGTTTTTCTAATACATGTTTTATAATTTTATGAGCTAAGCAAGGTTTTGTGTTTATGTTAAAAAATCTTTTTTTAGATTAGTTTTGCCTGTGCTACGTTTTTTATCTACATAAAAAATGCATGTATGACATTTCACTAAGTTTTAAATCGTTAATTATTTACTGCTTCTTAGCAGCCTTGACGGATGTAGCGCCGAATTCACCTCTGAAAATAAAAGCATGTTTTAAAAAGAAAAACAAGTTGAAATATTTTTTTCTCGTTTTTGAGAGTTTGATGTATTCTATAAAACAGTGCCACACGTATAATTTTAAATTAATTTTTAAAATGCTTCTGTGTTTGCATATTAATGCGCTTCACAGTGAAAATAAAAGCTGGGCTTTTATTTTTATGGGTAGCTTCCTGTCACCGGAGGACGTAGCTTTGAGCACTTTGTGAGCGCGAGCTGACGCTGCCCGGTTGCGGGGGAAATTAGCTGGCTGCAGCCTGCTGCTGGGGACACCTCTCTCGGACTCCCGGAGCCTTCATTGCAGTAAGTAAACCCCGGTGTTACATTTTTCTGTACCTACGTAGAGAAAACACCGCGTCCTGCTGGGTCAGACGGTGCGGTTCGGCTCCTGGAGAATCCTGCCGATACTAGTTGAATCAGCGGCGCGCGCACAGCTGGAACAAAAAAATAAATAAATAAAAAAACGGGATTGTCTAATAGATGCCGTGCTTTATTTAGACAATTAAATCGTTGACACTTAGATTTTTTCCCCCAGCCCCATTCATTACTGACGCTTTATTTGTCCAGATGTTGAAACATGTCTAATTAAGTGTCCAGATTTGTCTGGTTCACGCCGGGCTGAACAATGATGAATCAGAGAGCAGCATGTTCAGACTGTGAACACACACACACACACACACACACACACACACACACACACACACACACACACAGCAGCCTCAGTAGATATGAGTGTATGAAAGCAGCTGTATTTTTATGAGTGTTGTGGTAAATTGCAGGTTAATGTGTTGCCACGGAGGCTGCTGCTGATTGGCTGAGAGTGAGGGCAGGAGGTGCAGATCAAAGGCCGACTCCGTCCAAAGTTCAACCATAATACCTCATTCATTATTTTTGCATAATAACCTATTCACAAAGCGTTTTACAACAGAAAGCAGGGGAGAAATTGCACGTTGTTTTTTTTTGCCTATGTCTCTATAATTGCTTGTCTGTTAGTAAAATATCTCCTGAGCCTGTGGGCTGATTTGAATAAATTCTTCTGGAAATATTCACTGGATGCACATATTTAACTGATTAACGTTTGGAGCTGATCCAGTTCAAGATGGCTGCTCCAGCTCACTGGTGGTAGAAAACACAAACATTTATCTAATTAAGTCAAATATACGAATATGTTAAACTTTGGGGTGGTAGTAGCTGAAACTGGTTCTCAACACGTGTTCTGACTGCTAACAGAGATCTCTGGGGAAAATCTAGCCAAGGACTATTGAGAAGTGTGCTCTTTATTGCTGTTAGCAAAATATCTCATGAACTAATGGACATATTTTAATGTAATTATCAGGAAATAATTCCTGATTGTACGCCTACATCTGATTAACTTTTGGAGTCACTTTGATAGAAGATTGCCGCCACAGCTAATTAATGTTATCTAACACAAAAATGTCTATAATTCAGTCTGTTTCTTTCAAATTGAACTCAAATTTGGCGTTGTCGTAGCTCAGAGTCATCCTCAACACGCCCCCGTCTCTACTTGTGCAACATATTTGCTTAAAAACGTTGGCATGAACTATCGGTGTCAACCCTGTTTGTGTGTTAGCAAAATATCTCATGAAGTACTGGACAGATTGGAATGAAACTCCCATGATTTGATGTTGGTCTCCTACTCGTTAACTTCTGGAGTCAGCCCGAATTAAAATGAAATTTTTAAAAAGTACCACGACTCAGTCAGTTTTACAGGAGCTAAATTTGACGAGGTAGTAGCTGAGAGTCGCCCTCGACAAGAAACGCTCGGCCTTTGAGTTATCAGGTTGCCCGTCTGTCCAGAGGCCAGTGGAGTTTAATTTAATAAGAAGAGGCAGCACGTCTCTGGTTATTACTCAGCAAACAGAGCAGACAGTTTCAGTCCTGCAGCCATCTTTGAGAACCTTGGAGGTAAAATGTCGTGCGTGGACTTGCTGCTGCTCCTCACCTTCACTGTGAACAAACAGGAAGTTAAAGCTGGCTCAGTTTGGATGAGCGTCGCACACAGAGAGGAGTGAAGCGTGCTGCAGTACGTCCACAGCTCTGACTGAAACAACATTTATGTATTCAGTGTGGACACACACACGCAGAGGCTTTCAGCACTTTTCAGGCCCAGTTTGAGGTTCTGTGTGCACCCCCGGTCGGAGCACGGCTTTCATTTAGCGCTCCACAACCACTGTACCATGTCAGGCCATCGCCATAGCAACATTATGCTGAATTAGCAGCGTGGCAGAAGAGAAAGAAGCATTGTCCTGTCCCCCCCGCCCACGTATTGTGTTTCCCTCAAAGAATTCAGACTGAACACTTGTGTCAGTTGAACCCTTCCCCCCCCCCCTCAGGTAAACATGGCAGCAGAGATCTCAACGTCCATCAACATCAAGGAGCCTCGGTGGGACCAGAGCACATTCGTGGGTCGAGCCAAGCACTTCTTCACCGTCACGGATCCCAGGAACGTTCTCCTGACCAACGAGGAGCTGGCACACGCTCACAGGATCATCACAGACTACAGGTACAAGGGGCCTCATGCAAGAACCGTTCGTACGAACAGATTTGTTCTCAAGTTGTGCGTACGAGTGATTTTCTCGTATTCTAAGATTTTTTTCAAATACAAACAAAATTCACGAGTGGTCCAGACCCATCCATCCATCCATTTTCTTCCGCCTATCCGGGGTCGGGTCGCGGGGGCAGCAGCTTCAGAAGGGAGGCCCAGACCTCCCTTTCCCCAGCCACTTCTTCCAGCTCCTCCGGGGGAACTCCAAGGCGTTCCCAGGCCAGGCCATCTCCAAGTCCTTCCATGGCAATTATTTTTAGTTAGCATATAGCTAAAGTCTAACAATGGTTATATAA